ATAATGATAAATAATATAAGTAAATAATACAATATTTAATAAATAATAATGCAAGAATAAAGTCTGTGTTTTGTGTACTCACAACTGTAAACTTACTTTTGCTCTCCCCTCTATGTATTTTGTTCCATTTGTTAGCTTGTTTGGTGATGAAGCATGAGAGGAAAGCAGTGATTTAATAAAATCTGCCTGAGGACAGTAGGTATGGAATGAACTGATGGGGAAAATTCCACAATGGGAAGACTAGTTTGAGGACTGCTGAAATAGCCCTGGGAAATCTATAATAATGGCATGGAAAACAGAAGTAACTTTATGAGAATGGAATACTATATTTTAAAGATGATTAAAAGTTTACATAAGTTAGAGCTGTCTGACAATTTGAATAATCAATTGCCATTGAATGTGCGATCTCCGCAGACACTAGAAAAATAAAAAAAAAGAAATAGGGAGAGATTCCTCTAGTGCTCCTCTAATACCTTGCCTAGATTTATTAATTACGCAGGAGAACTAAGTTTATCTTTACACGATCCCAGATTAAGAAATATAACTATAAGTAATTAAATATTCAATAGAAATATTCATTCAATTTTGCTAAAAATTTCCATGAATGAGAAAAAAAAGCTTAAACTAAGGATATTGCAATGGAAAATTATACTTTTTATCCTTTTAACTTTATTCCTGAATCTTTTTACATAGTAAAAATGGCGCTGTGTGTACTGTACTACAGCCTCTTGTGCTGCCAATGAGTCAGTTAAGCCAGGAACCTGTGGGTTTTACATCACATGTCATGAAGCCTCTCTCAAATGTGTATCTATTTAAGATATGTCCTGTTTAACAACAAAACACAGAAGGAATCTGAATGCAGCTCATGGTTCTGGTGGGTAGGGCAGTGATACAGAAAAGGAGGTTCATGATGGCATCTTCCATAGGAGTCCTACTTCGGACTCCATACATCAGCTTCCATCAGAAAAATCACAAGATTTACTTGCACTTATGTCTTATTATCTGTGTGCTGCAGATTGAGAATTATTGCTGAATAAATTAGCATCAGATCAGAGAGCATGAAATGAAGAACACAAATAAAGTGAGTTGCAACATGGCAAATTAAAAACAAGTTGAAGACTTTCTAAGTTGAACATCAAGAGCTACATTCATTAAGGGGAAATACAATTTCAATTCACAGAAAACACAAATTAAAGACAGAAAATTATTTAAAATATTTACATCTTACTTTACTTATATGTGTGCCTCATGGTAGCAACATCAAATAGAATATTTGGTGGGGAGATTGAACATTTAAACACTGTATTTCCAACCCCTGTACCATTTTTTTAGAATAGCATTCACAGAATTTTGATATCATTTGTTGATATTGACACTGCTTCTATAAATAAAGGTTTCATGGGCATATAAATTATGAGACAAATTCAGTTGTTTTTGTCTGAGAAGTTTAGTTCTCTTAGTTTATCTCAGTCATGTTCTAGTCACATAAGTTCAGTGATAAATTAGGAGTCAACAAGAGTAGGTAATAGTTCTAATAAATTTTCAATGTTGCCAAATAGTATCTGATGCATTCACTTAAAAAGATAGAGATAGCCCTGGTTGGTTTTGCTCAGTGGTTAGAGTGTCAGCCCATGAACCAAAGGGTCAGGGGTTCGATTCCTGGTCAAGGGCATGTATCTAGGTTGTGGGTTTCATTCCTGGCCCAGTCAGAGTACCTGTGGGAGGCAAGTAATTGATGTCTTTCTCTCACATCGATGTTTCTCTCTCTCTCCCCCTCCCTCCCTTCCACTCTATCTAATAATCAATGGAAAAATATTGTTGGATGAGGAGTAACAACAACAACAACAACAAAAAGATGGAGATAAATACTTATTCACCACTCAATTGCCTGTAATTTTGTACACACACACATGTAATTGGAAGCATAGACGCATGTCAACTTTAACTTTTCCGCAACTGAACTACTAATTACTAACCATAGTCTTAATTTGATCTGCATAGCAATCTTATAAAGTAGGTATTATTTTCCCCTTTTTGTGTGACATTGAGGTTCAAAATGCTTAAGTAAAGTGACTATAAAATGGCTTAGATTTAGGCGCATCAGGTTTACATAAATATTTGTGACATAATCTGTGTTCTCCAGGAGCAGATTTTTTTTAGCTAGGAAGCTAAAAGATATATGCAAAAGAGGCATATTAAATGGGACATCTGAATGAGAGTTCAGGACCAATGAAGTAACATTACAGACTTGCAAAAATCCTTACCCAGGAAAAATATTCAAAGAAGAAAACAACTTCAGGGTGAAATGCTGAGAGATATTTCATGGAAGTGATGGAATTTGAACAAGGTTTTGAAGCAATTTAAAAAGTAGTGAATATAAGGGTGTCAGTTTCAGAGAAAGAGGCAATGTAGACAGGACAATATATCAGGTACATCAAAGCAGACTAAAAATAAAATGGATATGGAGGAGGTCAGAGCACAGTAAGAGAGATAAATGAAAAAGAAATAATTATATAATTAAGTCCCTACTCTGTGCCATGCTGATACTAAACTTTACCTGTGTTCATGTCATCTTTACAACATGACTATGAGGTATTATTACTTCATGTTATTGATGAAGAAACTGAGGTTGCTGAATGTTTAACTGACTTGTACAGTCACATAGTAGTTTATGGTAGAACCAAAATAAAATCAGGTGGCTAGATCCACAGTCCACATTCTTGACCTTCACACAATACTGTCTCCCAGGATAATAGCAGTAATCTGACACCTCTCTCAGCTTTACATTAACTCATTACAGAAGGCAGAGTGGCTAAGACCTTTACATTTACTCTGGGTAGCAGGAAGTCATGGTTGGAATTTATTTTGAGAAAATTAAATCTACCAGTCATATTAAAGATGAAATGAAGACATGAAACTTTACATATTTACATGCTATTATTACTATGACTATCATTAAGAACTATGTTTTATATTAGATAAGACCATTTCTGCACAGAAAATAACATTACTCCGTCGTTATTATGATATTGTTTGTATCGTATCGAGCACTGTATGCTATCACTAATATCTTTTCAAGGTCCTTCCCTTGATAGAATATAGTCTTTCAGATAGCCTGTAGTGAAATTCAAATCATAGTTTCATTTTATTGTACCTGTGACCATGTTCTTCATACTATATTTTTATTTCATATATACCTGCCTATTTATTCACACTGTATAAGATTGTAAAATATAATTTTTAAATATGTTTTTATTGATTTTTTTTTTAGAGAGAGAGGAAGTAAAGAGATAAAAACATTGATGTGAGAGAGAAACATGGATCAGCTGCCTCTTGCACGGCCCCTACTGGGGATCGAGCCTGCAACCCAGGCATGTGCCCTGACCGGGAATTGAACCCACACCTCTCAGTCCAGGGGACCATGCTCAATCCACTGAACCACACTGGCCAGGCAGAGTTTGTAAAGTATTTTTTTTATTTTATTTCTCTCAAAAAATATAGTTTTTACTTGACCCCATCTGCCTCTTGGTTGTCCCTCCTCCCACCATTTTTTAGCAACCTGTTTGTTCCTATACGACACCTGGGTGTCTTCTTGCTCCAGCAATATTCTCTCTAGGTTGGTGTCAAGGGGTGATAATGTGTGGATGAATACTCCACTGGAGGAAGAAACATCTACATTTTTAAGAAATCCACATCTTGCAGGTTATTTTGTTCCTATGCTACATTCTTCTATGGCATTTTTCCTGGAGATGTGTGTCTCCTTGAGACATGGGTAAAACGTTCTCACAGCAATACATATTCATTCAAAAGTTCAACCAATCATTGACATGATACCTCTCCTGTGGTCTTTTTCTCAAACTGGTGAAAAGGCTTCTGCATTCACATCTGTGACCTGCTGTGAATGAATTATGATTTGGGAATTATCTTGTTATATAGTAAATACACATTTTGTTTTGTCTCTTTTGTCGTTTATTGTGAAAATTTGTGTTGTTTTGATTGGCTTTTCATTTTTAAAAGCTAAATAGAGTAAATGGTATCTAATTAATTAAAATGACTTCGTTGAGAGCATTTTTTGAATATACATTGCTAGTATGTGTACTTATCATATACAATTACAAATTTGATAAATAGGAACTGGGAGTTGAACAAATGCTGTAAAGAAAGTCTAAAGAATGCGCCTTGCCACAGTTTTTAGATGATTTAGTAAGTGACATGCAGAGCATGAAGGACAAAGTAAGAAATGAAAATAAATAGAAATGGCCAAGAGAAAAATAAGTTGAAAAAAAAAACATGAAGGCCTCCGTATGTGCCACATAAATACTTTTGTGGACAAGTGGAAAATTATTTCACATCCTTATATGGGAAGCTCACCACAAAACTACATTTACAAGATGCTAATACAAACTCAAAAGAGATGTGACATTCTAAATATTTCTGAGTAAAAATTTGATTTGCTTTAACAAAATAATTAGTCTCAATGAACTTTCACCATCTTCTGAGACTATTACTTTCCCTAGAACTATTAAAATACCACAATAAAAAAAAGTGAATAAAGCAAACACATCTGGCTGTAAAAATTACTTAAAAGGTTTTGAAAAAAAGGCAAGGCACCTATGGTTATAGTAATTCTATTAAATGGTAAACTTCAATGCCTCAATCAAAACTTTGAAGTTGATATTTCATTAGAATAAAAAGTGAAAGAGCCAGGAAAAAAAAAAAGGGGGCCTCTACTGCTCCTTTTATCTGGATACATTTTCTCTGGTGCTAAATTAATAGTACATGAGTCAATACATATATATTAAAAAATAAATAAAAATTCAAGTTCATTGAAGATCAGCTTTGACCAGAATCTACTAAAATACAAGACAATTTTTATTTATATTAGAGAAAGTATTAATAGCATTACTATGGTTCTACCTTGAAGTTAACAATAACCTAATAGAAGAAACCAGATGTTCATGACATATATACATGCACGCGCGATTTGCCATTATACTCACTTTTGGTCACTACACCTTCTAAGTGAATGATGTTAGGGTGATCAAACTGCCCCATGATACTTGCTTCACCCAGGAAATCTCTACGTTGCTTGTCAGTATAGCCTACTTTAAGGGTTTTGATTGCCACAGGTAATTCTCTTTTTCCTGGAAGTTTCAAACGTCCACTACAAACTTCACCAAATTCACCTTATGAAAAAGATGGAAAAAGTACACAAAATCATTTGACATCCTTAATCTAATACTAACATAAAGCACTCTTAGAATATCAAGGCATAGATGAAACAGAGTTAACAGGGGAGTCCAAACTGCATTACCAATGTTAATAGAAATAAACGGTGCGCTGTGGAAAATCATCTACAGGTGATCATAAAACACTCTGGGAGTTATTAGCTTCATCCATCTCACCTACAAAACTCCTAGTGGAAATGTTACAAGAAAATTAAATGCAACTGACTTGAATTATTTTCTTCTTCCTTCTTTTTCTCCTCTAGTAGTGCCATTAATGAGAAGAGTAAAGGGGAAACGTTATAGCAGGACAAAAAAAATGTAAGGAAGAAATGATTCATACATAGAATAACTGGGTGCTTAAATTATGTAAATGTTTTTCAGCATTGCCAATTATATATGTATTAAAATAGTTATATAGTAGATGGCGAAACACTATGTTTGAATAAATATATATATATATGTGTATATATATATATATATATACACATATATATATATTTGCTGGTTTATTTTTTATTTCATGTACTAGACATTTGCTGGTTGAAGTGTGATCTACACAGAAGGCAGCATTAAAATATGATCAGTTATATATCACTTTGAAAGCAAGTTAGTTACAAAAGATCCCAAGCATTTTGTGTTAGATCAGGACATTGACATATTCTGTTCTATTACTGAACACAAGTTAAAAGTCTAAGTTAAACACACTGTGGTACCTGCTCCAATAACTCTTTCAATGGTGATGCATGAAGCTTCTATCTCCTTGGCAAATTCATGGACAGCTTGATTGGGATCTTCGTAGGTATGTGGATCAACATAAGTTCTTACTCCTGGCAGTTTAACTGTAAAAATAAATGGCCATTAAAATAGAAGTACCTGTGATGGATGAATTAAATTGTAAATATTATTAACATGCAACTGTGGCCTGAATTCCTAATTCCTAAGTGGCTGAGCTATAAGAAGGACTCTCTCCTGGATTATAGAAGTCATTTGTCCAGCTATGTCACTTTTATAATTTTGGAAATCTGGATGGTTGGGACGTACAAGAAATGCATATGTGCTGATACATATGAGTAAATACATCTTTCCACACTAATGGTCAGAGAGTTATTCTCTGAGGCAAACCAAGAGTTTTGTTTAGTAAAGGGGAGAATGAAATGCTGGTGGTCTATTTGTCGGTTTGTTAGTCTGTGTCTTTCATTATCACCAGAGATTATTCATTTTGGTTTTGCAAAAAAAACGATTTAAAATAAATTTTCAGATGTTTTGATCCAAGAAGACTCATAGAGAAGTCAAAACAAAAGAGACACTGCTTCTCACTCTACCTGTGCTGCTGCATAGGTGCTTATGTTCCAAGAGCTTGAGTTTCATCACATGTAAAAGCGACCAATATCACCCTCACAGTGTTCTTTGAGGATAAATAATATTTAATAACATAATGGTATGAAAGTGAACTAAATGCTTTATAGCATGACTTATGGCTCTGATGATGTTGGCTTTTATGGTCATAGCAAAGTGACAAAAGTAAAAGAAACTTTTTGTCATTCACTTGATGAAACAACTCATACTGCAATATTAATGACAAAATAAACATATTAATTAGAAATCATTTAATAATTTTTAAAGCTCATTGTTAAAACTTTATTTTCTGCATTTCTTAAAAGTGTAGACTTTTTCGGTTCATTTGGACCAAGGTTGCTGCCACAGAATCTACTCACGGAAATTCCTGTTATAATGCTAGAAAAAAATACTAAGAAATTTCATTTCTGTAATCTGGTGGTATTATTTTAACATAGATTTATACTGAATGTGTTGCTAGCTATTAGAAGTGACCTGGAAATTTGGTTTAAAAAATCATATAAGTTTTTGTTTTTCTCTTAGATTGCAATCTAAGTATGCTTTAAAGAATTAAGTAAACCATCTCTTTCCCAGGGTTAGCCGGCAATACCCCAAGCTTATATGTTTTTACAGAAATATAACAAAACACATTTTAAAAAATTATCTTTATTGTTGAAAGTATTACAGATGTCCCCCTTTTTTCCCCTGTTGACCCCCTCCACCCTGCTCCCAACCCCCAGGCCTTCACAGTACTTATTGTCTAAGTACATGGTTATGGGTATATGCATATAAATTCTTTGGTTAATCTCTTCCCACCCCCCACCTTGCCCCCTTCCCTCTGAGATTTGTAAGTCTGTTCCATGTTTCCATATTGGAAATCTTGCCTGAAAAGAAACCCAAATAACAATAGTGTCTCCCCGACTTTGTGTGTGTTTGAGTTTTACAATTTGCTTACTGTGCCCATTATGAAAATGCATCTTTTCCTCTTCGGGATCTTGCTTTGCTTTGCTGTACCCACACCGCCTGGAACAGAGGAAGCTACAGTTAGCCGCACCTCTAGGTGGTGAATCCCATCAAGCCCAGCAGCAGGAAAGCACCTGCGGTGATGGTGCCCTAACTCATTTCACACTGGTAGGATGAACTAACTCCAGTACTCCTTGTGGCTGCATTTCTCTAGAAAATATCCCTCACTGTTCGCATATTTCACTGAGAAGTTTGAATCCATCCAAACCCATTTTTTAAAAAGTTCTCTTAAAAAAATACACCTAACAGCAGGCATTTTTCTGTTCCACGATTTCTTTTACTGACTCTTTTCGGGATGAGTTGCCCAAAATGTTTCTGATTCATTAGTCTCGCACCTTCAGCTCCTTACTCTATTATTTTATTTTTTCTCCCGTTTTGGAGGTACCAGTTGTTCCACCAGCTCTTCTCCACGCAGATCACTGTCAGATGGGCTCCACCTGTGCCCCGACTCAGCTCCATTCTCCACACCTTTGTCTCTTCTGTTTTCTCAACCACTCCCTCACTTGCAAATCCTTTTAACCTGCTTCTAGTACTTACAAAAATCTGCCCTTCCTAGGTTCACTATGACATATTGACATCTAAATCCAGTGCCTTTTTCTTACTTTTTAAGCGTTCATGATGGACTGAAATCACTAACGGCTTCTTTTTGACACTTTCTGCTCCTTTCTTCATGTCAGTAGGTCCTCTCTGCATGACCTCCTCTGGCTCTCTCCTGTCAACCCATCCACTTCCACAAATTACGTCAATACCATCTAAGACCTCTGGTTAAATTCTTTTGAAATGTATGCTTTTATTTCTCATAGCTTTATTTTATAGAGATATTCACTGGTGTCCAAACTCAATGAACTTGAAAAAGAAATCAATATACTTCTCTTTGTTTTCAATCTTGATCTATCGCTTTCTTTCCCTATTAATAATATTGCCATGGCCTTGGTCCTTTAAGATCAAATCTCTATTCTCTTGTGCCTTACAACAAACTAGTTTGCCAAATCCCAAGTATTATATAACATAAATGTCTTATGACCCATCTGTTCCTCTTCATTAGCTCCATTTCTTCACCAATTAAGGTCTTGCTATTTTTCAGGTGGGTTACTACTAATGTCTCTGAACTGATGCCTCTGCATTCTATAACTGCTCTATACTAGACATGGCTGTACACAAATAACTGTGAACAAAGTACTTTTCTATTGTGTCAGCTGTCTCCTGCAAAGTCTTCAATAAAATAATGTGAAGATTCCTAAATGTAGCTCTAATGCATACTTCCTACATCATCTCCAACTGTTATCTTCAAGTGTGCTAAACTTTATGCTCAGGTCTCCAAGGTACTTCTCCATGCTTCCATACATTTGCACACACTGGTCTTGAACCTAGGGTGTTCTTCCTGACAATTTCCATTTATCAACGTCCAGTTCAATTTTTGCATTTATGGTTTTTTCCTGATACCTCAACTTAATGCAATCTTTCTGTCCTCGGAACAAAATTACTCTTTATATCCCTCTCATGGTATGATTTCCATTCTGTAATGCAACATAGTGATTTGCATATAGTTTGGCTCCCTAATACTTGTCAGTTTCTTGAATGACAGCAACTAGCAGTCATCTATAAATTTCTGTAGTGGCCTACTGCCTGGCTCAGAGGTGACATTAAAAATATTTGTCATGTTGATGAATGAAGAAATGAATTAGTAAATGATATTTTGATTGACACTGATGAATACTAGGTGATATGGTACACAATTAACCATACAATAATAAAATAACTGACTAAAATAAAAATATTTAAATTATTTTTAGTGAAGCTCTGAGGATGTGAATTTACTATTCATAAGCTCTCATAACAAAATTGAGTTTATTAAATACAAATTTTTCATTTATTTCTGTATAAAGAAAATACAGTCAAAGTGATAGATTGACAAAATATTTTCATTACAAAATTGGTTGAAAACTAGTATGTGATCTAAATGAAATGTCTATTTGACATGTACTAATAAGGACTGGTCCTTGGTTACATATTCTGGGATGTTTCATAAGTATATGTATATTTTGGTATAAAAATAGAGCCTATTTTATTCTGTATCATTTCTTAGTGAATGAGTATATACATATTATACAAAATAGATACCACAACCCACCCTTGTGCCATTTAAAAAAAATACAATTATCTTCATTTTATCATGTTAAAGATCTGGCAATTACAGCTAATAAAATTTGAAAAAAACTTAAAGCAATATATTTAACATATATCATGTTCTTGGGTGAGGAACAATACACAATGGGGATCTAGTAGCTTTTCAAGTTTTATTCATAACACTTAGGTGCACTTGTCATTCAAGAGCCCTTAAGACGTCTTGAAATACCACACCACAGTGAAATGAAGAGGAAAAACAAAGTTCTGCTGTGATTACATTTGGTCTATTCAAACTGATATTTATTTCATTGTCTTTTTCTCTCTTCTCTCTTTTTTTTTTTTTGTCCTTTTGTTAATCCTCACGAGAGGACATTTTTTCCATTAATTTTTAGAGAGAATGGAAGAGAGTGAGGGAGGGAGAGAGAAAACATCAATGTGACACGTCGATTGGTTGCCTCCTGCATTGCGCCCCGACTAAGGCGGAGGGTTGAACCTGCAACCTAAGTTCATGCCCTTGACCAGGACTCAAACCTGGAACCTTTGGTGCGTGGCTTAAACTCTATCCACTGAGCCACTGGCCAGGACCAAGCTGATATTTAAATTATTTGAATATATTATTTATAATTTTTATAGATATGACATTATTTTTTCAATCTTTAGGTATATGCCTCTAGAGAGAAGTTATCAATATCTTTATTTTTTACCAATGTTCTAAATACAAATGTATAAAATAATTCTGAGATTTATGTTATTTAAGTAATATTGACAAAAACTTTTTTAAAGGGAATTCTAAAGAATCCTAAAAAGTACAGAAGTTCTTGCAGTTTACATTAGAAAAAATTCAATTATTTTTTGTTCCATTTCGTAAAAAAATGTCATTGGGGTTTTGATGAGGATTGTAATAAATATATACATTGCTTTAAGTAATAAGAACATTTTAACTATAATCATTCTTCCAATCCATAAACACGAAATGTCTTTCCATTTCATTGTATCTTTTTCAATCTCTTTTATTAATATTTTGTTATTTTTAATACATAGGCCCTTCATATCCTTTGTTAAGTTTATTCCTAAATATTTTATTCTTTTTGTTGCAATTGCAAAATAAATATTTTTTCCATTTATTTTTCTGAAAATAATGTACTACTACCCAGCCATTAGATGAAATACTGTTATTTGCACAATAAGGATGGACCTTGAGAATATCACGCTAAGCAAAAAAAATAAAGTTCAGAACCATATGGTTTTACTCATATGTGGAATATAAAACGAAAAGCAACAAATGAACAATCAAGAAAAGAAAACAAAAACCCATAGACACAGTCCACAATATGGTGGTTACCAGAGGGAAGTGGGGTCAGGGGTACGAAAGGCTAAAAAGGACCAAATATGAAGTGATGGAAGATTTGACTTTGGGTGGTAAGTACACAATGCAATATACAGATGATGTATCATAGACTTGTACACTTGAAATCTATATAGACTTATTAACCAATGCCACCCCAATACATTTAATAAAACAAGAAAACAAACATCCATTTCACCTTCAACTCTCCTACCTTCAAAATAAAATTAAGCTTTCTTTCTGACTTGTTTCCTCAAATAGTTTTTATCATTAAATAAGCATCATAGATATTTAAATGGCATGCACATTCCTCATACCTCATATGAAAATGGAAATAGAACTTTGAATCTCATCTAAAAAATGATTTGGTAATACCTTGGTGAGGAGAGGTTGACATTTTAATACCTAGAATGAGCATCAGGAGGACAATAGAGTTATTTTTGACTCTGAGCATCTCTGGAGCTCTTAACTCATATGGCTGCATGTCACATTAACATATAAAATTAAACTCTGGAAACCCCCACCCCCAAGCATCATTAAAACCAGCTTCAACAAGATCAACAGGTAAAGGTGCAGCGGCAGAGACTGGCGCTCAAGCAGGGCATCAGCCTCGCTAACGGCATTGCAGGAAGCCTGTTCGTTCAGTATCATCTTACGTACCTGATCCAGATGCATCATTTTAAACCATCAGACAGTCAGTAAACATGCCATTCTGTGCATAAATTATACCTCCTACCTTCTAGAACCTTTTTTTTTTTTTTCCTGAATAGAAAAGAAACAGTTTCTTCATTTTGCTTCCTCTCACAATTTTAATGAGCTTTGATATCATTGTACTAAAAATATCTGTGGTGTTGCAATTAGAGGAACCATCCTGTAGTCATTTATACTCGTTTTCTTCTAGAAAACAATGTTATTTTACTTTTAGTTGTAGAGATGAACATGAGAAATCATATAACATGTAGGCATAATTATTCATTAATATTTACTAAGAAGTCCTAGAGAGATGCTTAACCTATAAATATAGCAATAATTTCAAAGGGAATTTAGAAATCAATCTCTTTTCCCTTACACCTATCCCGAGAATTTGAGTAACACATCCTTGATGAAATTAATGGTGATCTTAAAAATCTAAGTCCCAGCCATAACATCCTAAATTTAGATATTTGAAATTTCCAATTTTCATGAAATGGTAAACAATAATATTTATGTAAAGATGAATATGCTAATGACTAATTTAATTCTTGGATGTCAATTAAGGATTTGATAATAAATTTGAGGTATAGATGTCAAGCCCGCACAAAGTGATACATGGGGTCAGTAATTTACTAAATGGCAGTCGTATGGCCAATGAGGAGAGATGAGTGAATGAAATAGCCTGAGGAGACCGAAGGTTCTTCATCAACTATAGCTTCCGCAGAACCAGATCTCTGCATTGCTAGCCTACAGAAATAAAAACTGGATGTACACTTTTTCACCATAACTCTAAGTAAGGTGGGGTGGGGGGGATGGTGGGAGAAGTGGTTTTGCC